AGTCTAAAGTACAGAGCCTATTCCAGTTTGTGTCAACATATGGTCTAAAGTACAGAGCCTAGTCCAGTGTGTGTGTCAACATACGGTCTAAAGTACAGAGCCTAAAAAGACAATTGTAGTGAAGACACACGAGCACTGTTTGATGATGAAGACAATAGTAGAGAAGACAGACGAGCACTGTTTGATGATGAAGACAATACTAGAGAAGACACACGAGCAGTATTTCATGATGAAGGCAATAGTATTCCTATCAACAAATGTAAAAAAGGATTACATATTTACAGATGATAGAAATGAATGATGATTAAACTAGAAATAATGGATTGTACTGAGTCTTGGTCTGTAGGAGACTGACTTTTCACTTTCATGTTAGGGATCTAACAGGGTGGTTTTCCCATACATATAACTTTCTGATGGACTACCAAACAAAGATACTCTTAGACACAAAGGTCAGTTTAAAGACTATGTTTACACAAACTGGTCTAGGCTTTGTACTTTAGACCGTATGTTGACACACACACACACTGGACTAGGCTCTGTACTTTAGACCATATGTTGACACAAACTGGAATAGGCTCTGTACTTTAGACCATATGTTGACACAAACTGTTCGAAAACAATAGTAGTGAAGACACATGAGCACTGTTTCATGATATCATGAAACAGTGCTCGTGTGTCTTCACTACTATTGTTTTCATCATGAAACAGTGCTCGAGTGTCTTCTCATTTTGTCTGCTCTTTACCATACAGCTGGCAACATACTTGTTCTTGCATTTATCAGTCAGATAAATCTTTGAACCTCTGTTAAAATATAGTTAGCTTATCCAGATACGAGTTTACTAGCTCTGAATACAATGGGTGCAAAAAACGGAACAAATAATACCAAACCATTAGTCAAAAAATTAAAAACTGTTTTATTATTTGAAAGTGGTTACTTATGTAACAAAACTTATCTAAAAGTGGCATTCACCTGATAAGCTGAATTCAGAATTTGCTTAAGAGCATTACTGGCTGGAACTGATTCACCTCCTTCATAACAGTCCTTCTCCAAACTAGATAAGCATCGTTCTAATGTACCTAACAGACAAATACATACAATGTTGTCCTAAAACATTAACTTCAGAAAGAGTTCTTTGAGTCCTAATTACTTTTATTTCAATTAGTAAATAAAATGTTTTCTACGTGCAATCAGCTAATTTGCATAATACTACTCTTATTTATATCAACACTGTCACTTAATACTAGTTATCAGGAAATTCCTCTCTTGCCAATTACTGTTATAAAAACAATATTTTCATATTCACACATATATATTAAACAGATCTTCATCATTAAATAAAAAATTAATTTTTAAACATTCCTGTCTGCACAAAATGAAAAGAGCTTAAACAGTAGAATACGTTTTTAAAATATTTCATCATACAACACTTTTGACTAATTTAAAAAAAAACATTTTCTCATAGAATAAATATCTTGTTTCTAAACGCAATTTTCAACAGTATAAACCCTCTTTAATTCTCCATTTAACTCACCAACTTCATTATTGAGAACATCCAGAGATATCATATGATTCAAAACTCACTAAACAAATGGTGCTGACTGTATCATTTGCTTGATGAAATTATTAGATACATCTAGTATCACATTAGTATGTATAGTACAAGATTTACTACAATGATTAACATATCTCCTATATGCTCTTGTACTGATTCAATACACCTATTATATAAGCTTAAGTGCTTAAGGTGCTCGACTCACTACTTGCGGGTCCCAAGGTCAAAACCTGTTACTGAACATGCTTGCCCTTTCAGGCATGGGGGCATTATAATGACAGTCAATCCAACTATTCATTGGTAAAGTTGTGTTGTGGTGTTGACTATCTTCCTTCTAGTCTATCCTTTCAAAATTAGGGATGACCGTGCAGACAGCCTTCCAGTAGTATTGTGGAAACCCAAACAAAATCTACTGTAAGCCTTGTGACAAGTTGTTGGCAAAATGACACTTGATATGACAATAGTTGTTATGGTGTGAATGCCTTTTACAAGCTGGCAAAGCATGATTATTATCATATTAATTGTTATAAGACATTACTATTAAGCCTATTATGTTTTTAAGTACTACATTCTATATCTAGTCCCTTAGGGATTTTCAAGAACTAGAAGGGTGTATAATAACAGTATTCTAACCAATGTCCAATGACACATTTCACTAAGTCCATAGCTCTTCAGGCTGGCTGAGACACAACAAACACAATAGTGTTCAGAACATTATTTATAAAAACTACTTGTTACAAAAACAAATGATATACTGTATACATCTTTTACACACTGGCAAAGCATGATTATAATTAATTAGTCTTTACACAAGACATCAGTATTTTATTTATTTACACATACACACCCACACACTTATTACATTTATTATATGTAGTGTTTAAAAATATAATAGGCCTAATACTAATGTCTCACTATTAGTTATTTATTTGGCTGATGCCTTTATCCAAGGCACATGTTTAATTAATCAATGAAAAATGACAGATAATAATGCTTTCCATCTTGTTTCTTTTTATTATAGTTGAAGGTCCTTTTTGGTTCTTTGTAATCGAACTGTTATGCTTACTCTGTTTTGTTTTGCTACTTATTTACTATTATGTTTATGAGGTATGTTTAATTAAACAAAAATTTTATATTGAAAAGACAATGAATATTAACCTGCTTGAAACAGTAACGTTTAAATAAAAGATTTGTTTAAGTCAGCTGCAGTTCTTTTAATTAACTGCAATGAGGTTTTCTTTCAATGCACACTTACTGTATGTAGCTATACAAGTATTGCATGTTGCATCAAGTATGCATAAACAATGTGCAATTTTATTTTTATTTAAAATATAAAAACATAATAACTGTTATCTATAAAATAAAAGAGTTTTCATTCAAATATAAACTAATTATAGTGATTCAGTCAGTAAATTATGCAAATTAGTACTATCAAAGGTTCAAACCTTCATTTGGTAATGTGTTGCAAACATTTGAAAGTCAAAATCTACCCTTCGTTACAACCCTAAAATCAGTCATGTCAATGTTGCGATTTAAGGTCTTGTAAGTACAGCCATGTCATTGTTACAACACCAGTTTTTGTAAGTACAGACAAGTCAGTGTTAGAAAAGAACCATAGATGTCTGTGTAATATTTTTGAAAACAATGGTTTTTTGTGGGTTTTTCTAAAAGCAAACTGATAATTGTTTTCAATTATCCAAGTTCCACAATTTTAAGCAATGGATCATTGAACTTCTGATTAAGTATTATACAAAGAAGTGTTATAAAAAGTTTTATTAATAAGAAAAATATAAGGAAAGGTTATATATTACATTAAAAACAATTTAATACCCACTCTCACATTTATTTTGAGTAATTAACAGTTTCCACCATCCTTATGATTGTTTACAACTTACAATGTCACAAAAAGACCAATAAGAGTTTTTGTCCATAGCCAAAAATCCTCAATACTCAACTGAACTAGAGAAACACATCAGAAAAAGTCCAAGAAAGACTTAGTAACAGCTACATACCTATAAAACTCTCTCGCAGACAATCAACAGAGCCTATCAGCTTCCCAGCGACAGCACTGTTGATCCTTCCGAGGACAAGGTTCTGAATCTCTACTGTGCAGATCTGAAGGTCACGCACAGACAGTGGCTCTCCATTTTGTGACATTTGTAGGCCTGTAGAAGAGATCATGATTTGTCATTACTTTCAATTTACATCTCACACAGTGTTTATTCTTTTTTTAACATCAGATTAAGATTAATATCTCAAAAAAGAAAATCAATTTGTGCAAGTTTCCTCCTTTGATTTAAGAAATATACAAGGTAACAAAACCATCACACCACTTTGCCTAACTGTTTTTATGCTGTCACAATACCTTACTTGTTTCCCCAACTGACCACAATAAGACTCTGAAACTCGTACAAATCTCATACAACTTTCTATAAACAACACAAAAATTTGTGATTCAGTCAAACCTTGAAACTGATGATTAGCAGCTTCCTCTACCAAATCTTCCTTCATTGCTTGAATGGTGGACACAATTAGTTGACGTATCTCTTCTTGCTTTTTGTTCGCTATAGCCATCAAGGAGGAGTAAAGTTCTGTTTCTCTCTGACAAATGTATTCCAGACGTTTGGGGATTACCATCATATCTCTGGTCATGTCAAATGCTGTAAGGATAAACATCCGTAGGAACCGGTTGTGGGTCTCATTCAAAATAGTAGAAGCCCTGACTAAGAGCGACTTCAACACATGTTGAACAAACATTAAAATGCTAGAGAAAGCAGAACAAACAATATTATGTATTCTTTCTGTTGTTACTAGATATACAGAAACAACCAATAAACAGGTATTAAGTTGGAGAAGTGTTTATGAAAATATAAAATAAGACTACTATGTACACGATAAAAGTATTTGTATAAAAACTGAATAAACAAAACATCAGTTTTATTAGAAAAGATGAATATCCAAGAACAGTGGAAAAACAAAATAAGAGAAATATTTCTAAATAAAGAAAAATACATAAAAGTTTACTGGAACAATTATCTGTATATAATAAACAAACAAAATATCAGTGTTTAATGGGATAGAGAAATATCTGAA